TAACCCACAATGTCAAATGAATACCTTTACAAGTATTAAAAACATTTGAAAGAAGAAATAGCAATTAAAGTTATAATTTTAATTTTTTAAGCATGTAACTCAACGATATTAAATAAGTAATTTAATATCGTTGATGTAACTGTTCAATGTTTGAATCTAAAGAAAATATTACAAGAAAAAAAACCTCTTTTATTTTTCTAGTAATATTTACTTTCGATTTAAACATCGAGCTGTTACATACTTAAAAAATAAATTTATTAAAAATATATATAAAAAATGTTTGTTTTTTTTATCCGACATGTGGGGCCGGTCTTTATATACTTCGATCACTCGTATCCAAACTTCATGCTCATTATGATCTGCCGCCATCTTGATCGAAATAAGTGTGCTCGATGTGACAGCTACCAACCGACTGACAGTGTTACCAACCCTTACCAAAATGTTACCCTAAGTATTTTTTAAATTCCCCTAAAATCCCCTAAATAAAGAAATTTATATGTACCTACTTATCTTAATACCTAAATACTTTCGTTGCTCATAAATTAAAACGTAACATATTAAGTTACAGTAAATTATTTTATTGAATAAATACATTTTCCGAATAGAAAATCGAACGAAAATGAGCTGCAGGCCAATTATGCTCGCCAATTGTGATATTGTTTTGATGTCAATTTCACATTACGTATTATGCTCTCCGAAAAATACGATATCAAAATGACATCAACTAGACATCAACTTATGCGTATTATGATCAACTCTTTAAAATGATATCAACTTAAATGCGTATTACGTTCAAATTTTTGACTTAAAACAGTATCGCATAAAAGTCAAAAAAGTGATACAGGATATGATATTGATATGATCTTGATGTGACATAGGAATTTTTCATAATACCATTTAAAAACAATGTCAACTTGGCATCAACATCACATTGACATCATATTAGGATTATATCACTAAAGCATAATTGACCCGCTGACAGGCTGTTAAATCTTATTTAGCTGTTTTGATTGGTGGAAGGCAAAGAACTTTAGTCCATATAGCCTTAAAAACAACCTGCCACACAGTGAGTTCAGTCGTTTCATATCGTGGTGCGTTCCATTCTACGCACAAAACTGAAAGAAAACACACGCTTTTTTTTCGATTTAATTTTTTAAGTTTTGTTAAAAGCCCCTATAAGAACCCCCAAAAAATTCCAGCCCCTAAAACAGTCCGTTTTAACCCTTCTAGCCCCTAAATCTGGGGGCAAAACCCCTAAGTTGGGAACCGTGCCGACTGATTGAAAAATTGCCCCAATCGCGCTACACACGCGGCAACGTGCAGGGCGGTAGGGCAATCTAAGGACCAAGGGTGGGCTCGCGCTCCTGCGGCCCTGCTGCAGGCCCGATTTAGAAAATTGTCCCTGCTTGCCCACACACATCATAATTTAGGAGGCAATTAAGGGTCTACTCCACTCTTACACCCTAGATTGTGCCTGCGGCAGGCATGTCAGTAGGCCGCTTTTGAGTGCACGCGCACACTACAATAAATAGACTAATTAGGAGAGAGCGTCACGTTCAAAGGAAAAGATGCTCTACTTCAATTTTTTTTTAATAATTTTTAGGTGTGGATATTTTATGTGATTTATTAGTAAATATACGATAAATTATTTTAAACTGTCATGGTCACTAACACTATAACGTTTTTTTTTTATTAGCGGGATTGATACCATGTACCTTATTTGTGGCGAGTCCCGGATATTTCGGCACTGTTGCAAGCACCATGATCACGGAGTAACTCCGTGTAACATTATAATATTACCATTTTTTACAATAGAGAGGAATTAGACATAAGTAAAATACGTAAAAAAGCGTTATTGAACTTTATTTAGAAATCAAAATCGTCAATCACTCGTTTCAATATCTGATACAGAGAGATAGAGATATTTCACTGAATTCATGTTGTACTTGCAGAAATTTTCTTTGTTTTTTAGTATAAGGTCATAAAGTCGAAATGGATATTTTTTGCATTCAGCCTAGTCTGCAATATCTTATTTATTGAAGTTGGATGTTGGTATTTTTCTGAACTAGCGTTGCAGTGGCGGACTAAGCCTGTTAGAGGCCCGGGGCGGCAAAGCTGAATGAGGCATTAAAAAAATATAGTTTCTTAAGTTTGTTTCGTTGAAATCTAGCAAGTGAAATTTAAATTCGAATTAAATTATTTCGGCTAAATAAACATACATACCTAAAATATGGTACATATTGAATAGAAACGTAGGTGCATATTGACTAGAAACTACGGATTATAATTTGTAGGCTAAACTATTCGAAGAATTAGGTACTTACTTTTTCCAAAAACTCGAAAATGCATTTTCTCAACTCTGAACTCATTTACTTTTATACCGTAACAAACTATTATTGAATTTTGTGATATGCTAATTATTATTATGTGAATTATTTGCACTCATTCATTCAGGGATTCCTGAGGAAGTATCCGCTACAAAAACGGGAATCCCTCCAGCGTATTGGACGCGTTCAGTTAAAAGAATATTAGTACCGCGTAAAAAGACTAGACGGCTGTAGTGTTTTGATCTTGATGAAATTATACCTACATACTACTAAGTACATTTTTAAAGTCTTGTTTAGCATTTGATCAGGGGAACGCGGAGGCATTTGGGGGCGCCCCAAGATCGGAGGACCGGGGCGGGCCGCCCCTTCCGCCCCCCTGTTAGTCCGCCACTGTAGCGTTGTGATAAGCTGCATTATCCAAGACTACCACGGCATCATTTGGGAGATTTGGTATTAGTTTCTCCTTAAGCCACTTGAAATAAATTTCTGTGTTCATGATATCATGGTAGTCTCAAGATTTGTCAAAAAGTGTGTCTGTATGACGTGGCGTGCCTTCAAAAAGTCTATCAGTCTGTTGTAATTCGTCAGAGTACAAAAGTCTGTCTGTATGGCGTGGCGTGACTACGAAGCTTTCAAAAGGCAATGAAAAAGAATTACATAAGAAACTCAGTCCGGCTACTGAAAACTTAGAGTATTTACGTACACATGGTCTAAGACTGAAAATTCAAAATCTGTTTTATTGATTCATGTTCTTTTCTCGGATGCTGATTCTTTATGTTTCCATTGTATTTAATACACCCGTGTAACCTCGGGACGGGCCGCTTGTTGTGAAATAAAATTGGTGTGATTTTGTGTTACAACCGTCTGCGCAATTAAAGATTATGTGAATCTTTTAAATATACGCTATTGTAGTGTTGAAACGGCATTTACACTACCCAATTATAAGAGCCCTATCGAAAGGGTGGGAGTGGCCCCTAGTTAGGTGGTAGCAATTATTACACTGCGCTGGATCGGGTCCCTCACTCTCTTCCTCAGTTCCTCACATTACACCACCTTTATTCAGGGTAAAGGTACTTTAAAATTAGGTTCTGTAAATCCCGCATGAGCAGCTCACAGAAGCTTATCCAGAAAGATGACTCGATACGTTTCGTGCCAAACACTTCAAGAAACATGAGAACAAAAAAAGAACTATAATAAAACTGAAAACAAGGCTGTATGGGCATTGTTTCCTTTGCCTTCGCTAAAAAGGGAAAACTTTATAAAAAACATTCACGTGACGTCAGTCAGCACTTCAGCATAGGGGTGTACACTTAAAAAATATATCGATACATGTGTTCGATATAAAATATCGGAAAGAGATATCGATGTTTTTCGATATATCGGTTGAAAATATTGATATTTTTTCATTATCGAATATTTTTCACAAGTTTCATTTACTATGAGTATTACTTTAATACAATTATAGATACTACTAAGATGATGATGAGGTGATTTTTATATATGTAAGTGAAACACTAAAAATTCATAGTCGAAATATTTTATTACAATAATACCCATTTAAGACCAATGTGCTTTAGGTAGACAGTTGTAGGAATAAAAGTTTACCTAGTCTTTTGCCTTTCATTCTGTTTTTTTTTGTTGGTTGATTATTTGAACAGCCTTTGAAAATAACTTTTTAGATCTTGCCATTTTTGTATTAGATTTATTTGAATCAATTTATAAAAAAAAATTGTTAAGGTTTCTTAAGAACACAAATAGTGAGTTAAGGTGGAGATTTTTTTTGAAAGAAGTATTTTTTTTGCAGAAATATAATCTTAATCGTTTTCTGAAATAGCTAATTACGTAACTCAAAATTCACGGTGTATACATTATGTAAACAGGACACCACTGTTACCAATAAAACGGAATGAGTGAGAGATAGAGAACGGAGGCCTTTTATCCCTTTCTAATAGGATGACCCTAGCTTTTATTTATTGGAATATAAATATTAAAACAAATAAGGAGAAGTCATGCAGAAGAAGGGGTAGATAAAAGATACCGTCATGAAGCTAAAACGCGTGGAAGGCATATTGTTTCGTTGAATTTTTATTTTTTGGGAAATGTTACTGGCATTATGATTTATAAATTCAATATATCCCGCTTCTGGTATGTACAATTGTACATGATACATTTTAATGACACTCGGTTTGCCAATCTCCTTTTCTTTGGTTTTATTGTCATTATGAGTCAGCGTTTGTTTTTATAAATATCGGTAGATATTTTTATAAATATATCGATATATCGAATAAAAAATATCTTTGTCAAAACATCCAATCAATCGATATATCCTAGGTAAATATCGAACAAATTCAATATATCGATATTAAATGAATATCCCTACTTCAGCAGTCACGCAGTCAGTTATAGCGAAGCGCGACTACGAATGATTTTACCTTTCGACTAATTCGTAACTACTAATTTGGCTATTCGAAAGGCAAATTAGTAGTATAATAATGTCATTATTCGAATAACGACTACTAATTAGTAATGCTAATGTCAAATGTCGCTGCGTGCGATGCGTACCGCCCGATACCTTCGACTCCAGTCGAATGATATAAAGCGCAGTCGACTTAGTCGAATGATTCGTGGAGTCGAATGATTAGTATTAGTATTATTCGAAGTCGCGCAGCGCTAGTCAGTTACTGGTCAGTTACGCACGCACGTCACGTCAACTCAAGCCATCATCATTCTTCATTATTTAAGTTTTCATACTTTCTCTAAGTAATCAGGTACAAAATTCGTCAGATACAAAGTAGAATTCAGTTTGCTATTTATTTAAAAATACTTAAGTCAAAATAATAAGTCCACCAGTGCTTCAATTCTTCGTCAATAGTGAGTGAATAGCGTTTGCCGTGACTGTGAACTTCCGCGATCAGTCATTAGATAAAAACCCAAACTGAGTCAGAACAGAGTCGTGTGTGTTGCTCAATAATTTAGTCAGTGCTTTCATTACTATCAAAAGAAAACTAAGTGCTCGCAGTTGTACCGTGAAAACCGACCGAGTCGTCTCAAATATGAATCCGTACCAGCAAGTAAGTCTTCATAAATTATAACATTAGTTGCATCTTTGATGATTCGGCCTCATTGTTTTGTTTATCACATTAGGTACCTAATCATTTTGTAAATCACCATTGAAACCATTTTCGTTTCGTAGGGCCAATCGGGTTATCCACAACAGCAGTATCTTCACAATATTGGATTCGGAAACGCTGCACCACAGTCCTTTGGTAACCCAATGCCTATGCCAGGACTCCCTACTATGGGCTATCCCCAGCCACAACCCGGCTACCCTGGTTATCCACAAGCAAATTCTGGCTATCCATCTCAACCTTCTTCAGGTTATCCTAATCAAAATTACCCCACAAGTCAGGGTTATCCAACCACAGCTCAAAGTTATCCGTCTCAAAACTACCCAGCTGCTCAAGCAGGTTCTGGATACCCTCAATCTACACAAGGCTACGCTCAGCCTAGTCAAAACTACCCTCAACCTGTACAAGGTTATCCTCATTCAGTGCAAAGCAACCAGCAACAGAACCATTACCAAGGGTATCCACCTAGCCAGTCTCAGGCTCAAACTCAGGCATACAGTGTATCAAGTGGTCCAGTACCCACCATGTCTAAGGTATGTTATTATTTGTGTCTAAAATACTTTTTTCACATGTTTATGGTATAGGTTGTTTTTTCAGAATTAATGTTGCAGCTATAAACAATTTGCATAATATCATCTTCTATTTATACTGCTCATTGACAACAAACAACAAACATCCAATCATTTTATGTTTATTGTGATAATCAAAACATTGATGCTTGGTACATAATGCTTGCTGCTTGCACAATTAGTTGCTTAGAATATGAAGACTTTGCAAATAAACTGACAACTTAGAAATTATCTTTTGTTTTTTGTGTTGTTAAGTTTCAATGGTAAAATCAACAATAATGCACTGATAAAAAAAATGTTCTAAACCAGACCAGAGATTAATTAAAAAAAGGATATTTTGGTGTTTAGAATTTCTTAAAAATTTACTATGTGTGGTGTGGTAGTATGACCAATAATAATAATACTTTACTGTTAATAAAAAATTGCTTGCAACAACGGACACTATAAATGATCCAACCATTTACAAACTCCATTGTCATAAAACTGAGCTCTTAACAATTTTTAACTAGTTACCTTATTTTAATATTTATCTGGCTTGTTCAAAGAAGTGATTTGGTGTTGGGAAGTTTTATTGGTGTGAGTGAAAACTTAAGAAACAAGTTATAATTAATATTATTATATTTTTTTAATTTTAAGTATTTAACTGCTAGATGTTTAAATCTTAAGTTTTTTTTTGGAAACTGAGCTATTTATTGTTTCATTAAAATTTATAATGGACCTATTTATTTATGGTATAATTTTCTATCCTCAAAACTAAATATAATAGCAGCCTCAAGTTTTCATTTTCTTTTGAGCAATAATAGTGATAAACTGTCAATTTTAAAATGAAGCCTAGAATCAAGACAATATTAGGTCAGAGGCCATATTAATATTTGGATTTGCATTGCATCTAAGTAATCAAAAATTAATGTGGTTTTTTTTAAAGGGTTACCAACTAAATATATAAATTAGTAACTTTTTTTTGAGGAACACTAATAATAATTAGTATTTTATAGTGCACATACAGTGAGCATTGTTTTGAGATATCCAAAACTCATATTTTTATATACAACTTTTTCATTATCTTGTTTTGCTAATATAACCTTCTCACCACACAAAAATTTAACACTTCACCATACTTTGGGTTATGTTGAAGTGTTAAATTTTTGTGTGTCCTTTTGCAATCTCTAAAAATCAGAAAACCAAGCTTGTTTTTCTGATCTGCCTAAAAAGCCAGACTACCACAGCCAGATGCACACCAAAAAAAAAAAATTAAAAGAAAACAACTTTTTAGAGTAGCTAAAAACTGTGTCTTCTCAATCTAATAACAACAAAATTGATTGAGATTATAATTTTTGTATCATCAGATTCCTTATTTTTTGTTTTATTATTTTTTAATATTCCGCTTCAAAACAGCAGAAAATGTTATTTTAAAGGTGAATAATAACTATAACTTATATTCTGTTAATATTTCAAGCTTCAAAAAAAACTCCAACAAATCATGTTTGTTGTATGGGAGCCCCGCTTATGTATTTATTTTATTCTGTTTTTAGTATTAGTTGTTATAGATAGTGGCAACAGAAATACATCATCTTTGAATATTTCATCTGTCTAGCTATCACTGTTCATGAGATACAGCCTGGTGACAGACAGACGGACAGTGGTGTCTTAGTAATAGGATACCATGTTTACCCTTCGGGTACAGAGCTAGACAAGAGAGGTAGGGTATAGTAGATTTTCACCTCGAATTAGAGCATCCATTTGGGGAAGTATCCTCCATGGTGTCTGTTGCGTTTCTGTTGCTCAGTCAGGGAAGGCAACGGCGTGAGTGATATTTTTGTATCGCAAGCTAAGGTGGCTGCTTACTATCAGCATATGGCCTGCATATGCTTGTTTGCTACCTTTTAACAAAAAAACCCTAAAAACAAACAAAGCGTGGGGCGAAACGCCTGAAGACCTTTAGCAACAGTTAAAATAATAATTTGGTTCTTTGAATTGTGGTGGCATTTGAGACCACCATTCGGTCCCGAATGCCACCTTACAATAATTTATTATTTCCATGTCTCCATCAGGACCACCGGTCCTGGTCCCAAATGACTACCGACTCTAATGGACAGATAGATAGTTGGTTTCTAACCAAAGTACATCTCAAATGGTTAAGTTAGACGCGAGAAAACCTTTTTTTACCTCCCTAACTCCTACGGGGTCTAATTTTCCGAATTTTCGGAGAAACTTGGAATCGTAATATTTTTAATCGCACTGGCAACTTAAGTTTCTAGATTCGCGCACCTGCGACTTATACAGCCCATAAAAAAAAAGAAAAATCCGATCCAGAAATTTAATGGGTCGTATTGTTTTGCAAACAAAATTTAAAACCTCATATCGGTCTACTTTGAGACTTTATTGATTATGACATCCAATGTAATTGGCTGTTCTCGGTGACTAGGTAAATAATACCCAGACGGCCAGCACACTCACATGGATAGGTGGTTCACTCGTCGGTACCTAAGTGCACAGTTACTATTCAGGGAACAGTTTGAGGCAATTACATTGTTATGTTCACTTCACTTCGCCTCGTACATCTGTCGCACTAACAATTCAGTCTTGGCATTGGTTCTTTGTAAAATGGATGTAGTGTGTTCGAAAGGGAAAATCATAGTTTTCTATTTCGTATCACCTTAAGAAATTATCATTGTTATGATTGAGTGACATGATCGTACAGTGATGTGACCGTGTTTTGTTGGTGCCAAAAGGATAGCAACGCTAGTGGATTTTCGTTCGAGCATAATCAATATGTCCTCTGTAACGTCGAATTCAAGTATGCGCAGTGCCTACAGAGCTACAATTGGTCTTCGGCGCGGGTTCAAATCGTTTCGTTATACGGTATATTTATCTTTGGTCTTCTCATTTCTAAGGACTGCCTTTTTGACTGTCTCGTTTTCAAAATATGTTTTATTTTGATACAATACATGTTTACTCCGATTTATCGTAACGTATTTATAGTCCGTAGCGTAACTAGACAAGAAGTAACTAATAACATAGTCGTAATATGGATAATAATTGTCATCACATCAGTACGAAACCATAACACTCAGAGATTGTTATAAAAATTATTTGTTTTAAAGATATAAAATCTTTTATCCTTTTGTATACTGTACTGAAAGAAGACGAAAAACGAAATGATCGAATACGTAAACAGTCATATTTCGAAGTAGTCTTAAGCAGAGGTGGTCAAAACCAGTAATATTCGTATGCAATGCAGTCATTTCAAGAAGTGGACTCCAAACGTCAATCCAAATATATTGCACAACTAAATGACTGCATTGGAAAGGTCTCATTTATTTCGCAAGTGTTTGATATATTAAGTCGAATATTGTTATCAACTTTTACTTTATTCATTCATATTCATGTTAACATACCATTTTCAACACCAGCATCTGCCTTTCGTTAGGCATCTCCTATAAATAAACACGAAAAATGGATATAAAGAGAAAGGGAGAGTTTATCCATTCTAATGACTGCAGGATTAACAACACAAGTATTCTGAAGCTCGATATTGTACATAGGATTGATCAACAACAATCTTTTATCTCGAGTTCCGTCTTGCTTCTGGTGGCACGTTATCCGTAGTTCACAGTCGAAGCTGCAGTCGTTACTATCATTTATTTTTCCCATTTCATCCATAGGAAAGTTACCAACAATCAGGACTCAATTACTTTGATGGTTATGATGATACATACCTATATTACCAAAATGTGCATAGGTGCGCGAGTTTCCGCTTTGTTTTGTTTTCAATGTAATGTTGAATAACAAATTCTGTTGCGATTGGACAGATGTAGCCCAGGCACACTATTAGATTTTAATGTTATGTCTCTTATGATAAATATTATTTTGCAATTTCGCGCATAAAATGGCAAGTTTTACAATTACGAAAACTATGACAGTTTTCGTGAACTCGCACTCGTACTAAGGGTACTGATTTTATTGTTTTCGTCATTAAATCATTAGAGTCTTCTTAAATTTTAAGTATATTTGGTTACTTTTCACCTAAATAGACAGAGAAACATAATTTACAATTACGAAAACTATGATAGTTTTCGTGAGCTCAAACTCGTACTAAGGGTATCTACTGTAACAGTTTTGTTGTATGACTTGTATGATATAATTAGATTAGACAAATAGGGGGAGCTGTTTCGATAGCTATTGAGTCAGAATAGGTAAAGGTAATTCAACAAAAAAACACTTATTAATAGGTTATTTTAACAAAAATATTATTACGATCCAAACTATTTATATTCCTTGTATCCTCATTTCCGAGACATAGATTGCATGTGGTTATATTCGATGCCCTTATACGAAATAGGCAGAACCACCACTAATATTTTTATATTAAGCGTATTAGAGTAATTTAAAATTTGCGAAGGCAATAGGGATGATGAAATGTTGGTTATGTAACTTTTTTTTCTTCGTCCATTAGGTAGCTTGTCCAAAAGTATAATACCTAGTATCAAAACATAACAGAGATAATATTGATTTTAAATGTGTCATGACATTACATTACGTCTTATTTCAATTAAATAATATAAAAATAAACATATACCTAATTTACTTAGAAATGACGTCACGAGTCCCACTCCCAAACTTGGATGCGCTTCATCATTGCAATTTTTTGGTTGATTGAGAAAAGAAACAATAATTGTCGGTTATTGTTTGATAATCTAACTAATAATTTCGTTTACTCTACCAGGTAATCATCCCTATTATGGGTAAATAATAAATAGTGCGAGCTAGTGCGACCGAATTATTGTGATTATTTTTTAATCTACAATATTTTGAACCTTCCATTTGAATAAAAAATATCGCTCATTATTGACGGCAATTAGGTATATTACTTTTCAACATGAATTGTTATGCAGTTTAAATACCGTTGCAATAACAAAGTGAATTTACCTATACATATTTGAGATAAGATAAATGTATGCTTTGTCGACAAACATTTTTCTGTTGATAGTTTGATTTAATTGAATACACTTACCAATTAACAGACCATTAGTCAATACTAGTTTATACTTACATATCCTGTAGTTTCTACGTGTATCAAAAAGAGATTAATCACATGTAGCTGAATTAATGAACAAAAAAAAAAATTCTCATATTGTGACAGAGTTTTGAGATGAAAGATTTCGATTTAAGTGCATACGTACCCAAATGTTCCTTTCAAAATTCCGATCATGGCTCTATGTAGTTAGTCTTAAAATCAATCTTAGGATTGTCTTATAGTGCTGTCTTTGTAATACAACTAAGCAGAAAGTCTTTGGCTAGTCGTATTAGGATTCCGTCCAATGTTTGTTTAAATGTATTTCCTGCATTATTTCGCCATTATTACCATCAAAATATTATTATCATCATGCTTGTATCCTTAATATATTATAACGTGTAATTCACACTGATATGACTTTAGCATGACCATCGCTTTATATCCAGTTTTCCATACATCGCTGCAACAATGTAAAATATATTATCTTTTATCCCTTTGGGGGTAGAATTGATCAAAATCCTTTGTTAGCGGATGCCTACGTCATAACATCTACCTGCATGCATGCCAAATTTCAGCCCGATCCGTCCAGTGGTTTGGGCTGTGCGTTGATAGATCACTATATCAGTCAGTCACCTTTGAGTTTTATATATATATATATATATAGCTTTGATACTGGGTATCGGTATAATCTTGTTTATGGTGTGGTTGCGGTGGTGATGGAACCACAGGAACTATAATTTCTATTATTTAACTCAGATTATATAGAACAACAGTTTCGTTCTGTAACCAATACCCCAAGCACGAACAACTAGCGAGAAAGTACTTGAATTGTCGTCATCAAAATAAGTAGCGCACAACTAGCGAGAAAGTATTTGTACTGTCGATGTCGTCGTCAAAATAAGTAGCGCCCCACCGGACGTAATAACAAACTAATAGCTCTTTCGCGATACGACTACTCTCCCTTTGGTTGTTCTTGCTTAGGGTACCTAACTCTTTCATCATGAACTGTGACCAATGCATCTGTTTTTTGTTTTAGTCCAAGCCCACAGTAGTGCCCGCCAATCCCTTCGACCCTCGGGATGATGCCGCCGTTCTCCGGAAGGCTATGAAGGGCTTCGGCACCGATGAGAAGTCTATCATCAAGGTGCTCACCAGGCGCAGCAACGAGCAGAGGCTTAGAATCGCATTCGAATTCAAGACTCTGTATGGAAAGGTGAGTGTTTGTTAATTTACAGTTTATCAAGGTTGATGCAACCTTGTGCTCAGCGTTCAAAATTAGATAGCGTATGTAGTTCTGTAACTGTTATATATGTAGATAATTTAGAACTATACATCACGCTTCTTTGTGTTCAAAGTAGTAGTAATGGTATACACAAAGCGTATCTTCATTCCTCAGATAACAAAGACTCAAAAGGCTTATCTAATATTGCTAGTATACTGATATTCTAATGTTTACAGAAAGGTTGGTGACTTTACATATTTCGAAAGGTGAAGCTAATGAGATACCTTTTGTTTTTAAGTGTTTACAAATTTTCTCATTACATCAATAAGGACCAAAAACTTTACCACGCAAGTAGACTAGCTTTGCATTTTTGGAGAAATCAATCTTTCACTGTTGTTGGTGTAAGTATAACATTTTAGAACCGACAAAAAACCAAATCTGGCCTTATTGAGATGCAGCTATGTATGTTGATTCCTATGTATTTTCATGTCTGCCGTCTGATATTGCATCGTTAATGCTCTGCAAACTTTCCATAGAAAAAAGTAAGGTTAATGTCTGATGAATTTGATCGCTATATAACATAATCTTTGAAAAAGAAATTACGAATAATATATTTACCTGTTTTTTTACAATAGAAATACAGTCTCGTACAAACAAGTGATTAGATTAAGCTATCCTTTTGATGTCACTATTGAGGCTTCAATGTCTGATTCACTTGATCCCGTTCAATATGACAAAACAAGTTCCTTTACAAATATGAACTTTTCGCGTGATCCAAACAACACAATATCTAACTTCGTAATTTTGGTAGTTTTAAGGAATCAATTCCTCATTATTTATAGGCATGTGCACAAATAGAATGCTATGAAAATATTGAATATACATAAATGGTACATTAAAAGCCTCAAATTCTGAGACTGAGCCTTTAACTCAAAATTATAATAATATACAGTCGTCTGTAGGTCTATCGTCTTTTCAATAGACGTAAATTTGTCAGGTCCTTGCTCATACATGCCGGTCACAAGTTATACAGTGTATTATGGCTATGGATGTTGTTAAATAATATGTCCATATAATGTTCGTGTGCGGTTGTTTGTCCCTGGACACGACTCGTAGGTCAAGTTATCAGGTTAATTGATTACTCGTAGTATACTCGTCTGCAATATATTATTGTATTTTTATTTCGACGATAAGGCTTTTTATATTGTTTACTATAACACAATTCATATGGACAAAGAGTAACTTGTGAATTTAACATAAAATGAGCCACAATCCACCACGTGAACCTAAACGATTTGGTAGAATCTTTACGCACAGTTGATACTTGGTCCATCCATAATATTTCACGTCTTCATCAGCCTCATAATGTCCCCACTGCTGGGGCACAGGCCTTCCCTATGGATGGAATAGGGTGACTGGGCCATGACTCGACACGCGGGTCCAGTGCGGATTAGCGGGTGCTAACAACTGCAGATGACTTAATAATAATTTCGGTAACCCATTGTCCTTATCCGTTTACAATTATTGTCGAAAACACACTGCTCGTTGATAGATTTTAACTACCTACCTGCTAGGGAAAGTAAGCGGGCAACTGACTTTTAATTTGCTCCTAAACATCATGTGAGTTCTAATAACTAGTAAAGAATCGACACCTATAAATAAAGAAGAAGAAAGAAAGAATTTTATTAGCTTCATATAATAAGATTACACAAAACAAAAGCAAGAACAGAAAAGAAAGTCCAACTAGGTCCCTGCCTCAGCATAGTGCCACAGCGACGCCAGGGCCGCTGCGGCGCTGATATTCTGGCAAGCAAATCTATATCTTCTATACATATAATAAAATGGTAGGAAAGTCAAACAATCGATACCGAAGCCAAAAATATAGTTTTTAGAAATTTTGTCTGTATGTATGTCCGGGATAAACTCAAAACGTACTGCATGGATTTACTTCAAATTTGGCATGAATATTATTAAGAAGTCGGGTCAACATATAGGCTACATAATATTATCACGCTATCACCTACGGGGAACGAGCAGTGAACCTTTATTTCTAACTAACTCCACGCGTACGAAGTCACGGGCGGCCGCTACTGTTAGCATATTTTATAAGGTTAGTTTTTCTATTCCCTAGGACCTTGTGTCGGATTTGAAGAGTGAAACCAGCGGCAGATTCGAGGACCTCCTCGTCGCCTTGATGACTCCCCTTCCCCAATTCTATGCGAAGGAGCTACATGACGCCACTGCTGGCATTGGTACCGATGAAGACGTGCTCATCGAGGTCATGTGTACCATGTCCAACCACGAGATCCAAGTCATCAAGCAGGCGTACACTGCCAGTGAGTAATAGACGCTAACATCCATACTATTATTGTAAATGCGAAAGTGTATCTGTTTGTCTGTCTGTTACCTCTCCTCTCCATACTTAAACCGCTGAAGCGTCATATGAAATTTGGTATACAGACAGTTTGAGTCCCGGGAAAGTAGATAGAAAGGTTTTTACTCCTAAAATCACACTAAGGCGGTGAGAAGAGCGGAAGTTTGTATGGGTAACCATTTTATCCACGCAGACGAAGTCGCGGGCACCTACTAGTACGTTTATATACATTGTTTCACCACGATTAAGCCTGATGTTAAGCAACGATGTTTTCTAACCTGGAGGCCGATTGCCTAAAGCGGTTGCTATGGTTATGGCTATCGTTTAGGCTTTCAGTAATGATTTACGATTTCTAATACCTCACGCTCATTTTCTTTTATATTATTTTACCAATGCAAAAGAAAAAAAGAGCAGGAGGCATTTGAAAACCTGCAGTGGTCAGAAATAACACAGTGAAATTGTAAGCGATAGCGATAGCCATAGCAATGCCGTTGGGCGATTGGCCCATTGGAGTAACTTTGTAAGTCCATGCGCTTACAGCTTGCTTTACTACTTTACACTTACTTAGCTTTCAAATTCAGCAGAAACCCTAAGAATTGTGTCTACTATAAGTGCCATACAATTTATGTCATTCATAAACTATTTTTTTTACCCTTTAGTTACCCATAGAATACTTATTAATTTCAACATTAATGTACCATCTGCGTCAACGATTAAATACAATATTCATTTCTCTATCGTACTGTTTGGACGAGGAACACTCGATTCCTTCACCTATATTCTAGGTTTTTGAGGTTTGAACGGCCTACATAAGCATGTTCTCTGTTTCACCAACCATTGAAATCAAAGGGATGGTATAATCTTCTACTTTTTAAATAAGAATTACTAAATAATAGTTTTATTAACATTGAAAGCTTCTACTTATTGCCTTATGGATAGCTACCGGTATTGTTGTCGTTAGCCACTCCTTTGGCGAATTGCCGACCTTAACACAATGTCACGCGCCCTTATCAACCTAATCGCAAAATGTTATTACTCCTAGCTAATTGTCATATACACTGAACATATTAAAATAATAAAAAACAAATAAGTTATATAGTAAACTAAGGAAATTAAGCCAAGTACCGAAATTATGGATTAGATTCAGGTATATAGAGCATGTAGATTAACAGATAGTTTCCTGTTTTTAAAGTAAATGCATAAGAGTAACTTTTAAAATCAGGTGTCATCTATGCATTTCCGGTTATAATAAGGTACTCTGTGGCAGAAACTGTGTGATGATTGTGAATGAGCCACAGATTAGAGAGAATTTTTAAACTCTTTAACTAAAGAAAGCTAAGAGATTTAGGTTATATAGCCATATATTCAGTAGCTTCATTATTTTTGTTATGTTTTTAATATAACCATATTTTAGATTTTTAGTGTACCTATCACACCTTATAATTTTTTAATTTATAGTCAGGCAACGTAGGCCCATAGACCTTAAAGTCTAACATAAATACAGATTATAATGTGTTTATGGAGGTGTTTGGCGAAAAATGTATGGCAATAGACTTTATGGAGTTGCCTACCATCTATAATAATTGTCTAAGCACATTTGCATCTAGTGAAAATGATAATATAGTTGTGGATATTGATACAGTGTAATAAAAAAAAAATATTTTATCGATCTTTACATAATAGATTTGTTTTTATGTTATTTATACAACTGCGATCAGTCTTTGGCTGAATGTTACTACACCCATAGCCGTTAAAAATGATTCGTATGTTTTCCAAACCGGTAATATTAAAAGTCTTTTTTAAAGTAAATATATTATACAAAGGTGTCCGTTGAAATCTAATGATTGTAAATTAAATTATAAATTACGCCAAGAATTACCGTGTGTGTCAATATTTTTTGTGCATTTGGGCCAATTTGAGCAATCTTCTTTGCAGCGTAGGAAATTCCAAAGAGAAAACTTATACGAACCATATGTTTAAACAATAACCAACCACGAAGCATTCTAATAAACAAGTAGTGAGATTAGCATGCTTCAAGGTTGGTATTCTATTGTCTTTGAAACGATATCGGAACAATTGCTATGAAACATTAGATACTTATCCATGTCCTTGGAGACATTATCTTCCGGACTACTAATGAATTATTTCCGATTTAAGCTCGTTGTTACAATCTGCTATTGTTACCACAGATGAAACTATGCGAGTATGTCCTTCATGTGTCGCATAAAATTTCCTGTAATTATAAATTGCAACAATATGTACTTTTTCCTTTCCTCTGCACTCAAGCTCGTAAAATGTAGAGTATAACTCTACCTACCTAGTGAATATTGATGAATAAAATTTGGTATAGCCATAGTTTATTCTTAATATATTACTAATATTATGAGGAGCGCGATGGTGCAGGTGGTTAGCGCTTTCGGCTGCGATAGTTGAAGTTAAGTATTTTTTGCAGTGGCGTTCTGGGATGGATGACCAAAAATGTACTATCTCGAGCTCCTTCGTTCTTCGGAAGGCACGTTTAGCAACGGCGACCAACGGGTCCCGGCATCTGCAGTCGTTTGTACCCACCAATCCGCACCGGGCCCGCGTGGTGGGTCATGGCCCAATCTCCCTTTTCCATTCATAGGGAAGGCCTGTGCCTGGGGACAGGCCTTCCCTAGTCGGGACATTCATAGGCTCATGATGATGATAATATTACTAATAAATATGGTCTGAATTTTTACTACGTTTCATTGATTTTTCAGTGCACATCTATAAAACTGAGAGTATAAGTCTCTATTCATAAGATTGAGACGGTGGTTTTTTTTATTGGAAATGCTTTCATTCGTTAGTTCAACGTTAAAACACTTTCACTCTATCTTTCTATTATAGCATACTTTTATATAATATCCATGTTTCTTCTGATATTTGATGGTTTACCAAACATGTGATTATCTTCTTAATGCCAATTAAAATATCACTCATTAGTGCTGCAATATTGTAATTCACTCATATATTTATTATTTAATCTTATCCACAATAGTGGTTTTAGCTGACCGCAGTTTGATAACCTTATAGGTTATTTTTACCATATTATTATCTTCATTTTTACGAGTTAACGAGAAACGTCTGTTTGCAACTTGGTTCCGTCCGAGACGCTTTTTAGGTACGAGAAAGATGTAACTTTGCATGGGTGTACATTATTATTTTGCTGGATAAGTAGTAAAATTAAGTCTTGGTTAACGTAAATTGAAGATTTTTTTTCTCGTCTACCCCATGTTGCGAATTCTGCTTGACTAAATTATCGTTACCTACTTTTACTACACTGATATTTTTGTCACTCAGATGAAGTATTCAGCACTTATTTAAATAACAAAACGACCTTCATAAAAACAACGTCATTTTTTCATATCTCTCTTCCGCTGAGATTTGGAAGAAAGCCAGATCGGAACAATTTGCTTACTAAGCAGTGGCGTCAGACAACGCCTTTGTATTGATCAAAGAAAAAAGGGGAAATCTGGGGCACAGGCCTTCCCTATGGATGGAATAGGGAGATTGGGCCATGACCCACCACGCGGGCCTAGTGCAGATTGGTGAGTGCTAATGACTGCAGATGCAGCCGGGAACAACGGCTTAACGTGCCTTCCAAGGAGCTCGAGATAGTAATTTTTGGTCACCCATCCAATGACCGACCACTGTGAAAGTTGCTTAAGTTCAACTATCGCAGCGCAGCCGAACGCGCTAACCACTTAATTCGTAATCGGTTTAAATTATTTGCAAGTTATAAAACTAGCATAATATTCAGGCTTTTCGTGGCAATCGGCATATTCATGCCTAATTTTTTTTCCATATAGTCGGAATTTTCTGTAAGGTTTGTTTTTAACACTGGTTTTTTTGTGAATACTAAGTCCCAGTTCTTATTCCGAATTATCGAAATTTTCTTATACTTACTTTATTTTTTCACTTATATAGAAATCTATATAAACACCGTAAACATGTAAAGTGTTTGATGTTTAATGAATAAACGAACTGGCCGTAAAGAACCTTATTTTTTTTACAGTGTACGGCACCTTTTTGGAAGATGACCTCCGTGGCGACACGTCAGGGAATTTCAAGCGGCTCATGACCTCACTCTGCGTGGTGAGTATTTTCCTGCTTAACGCGGTATTAGTGTCGATTCTGGCATGACTTTCTAAACCTAAAATTAAAATTTTGATTAGAAACCTAAATTTTAAATCATTGAGAATGGAAAGGAGAGACTGATGTCAAATTTATTATTAAATTTAGAGAATCATACCAGAATCGACACCATTATCAAACTAGTTCGAGCTTATGAGAGGAAGGATTGTATGCTCTTTTATTTTATTATTAGTTGACCGGCATACTTCGTGACGCCTAACAGTCGCTGCATGTGATTAAGTTGAGAAAAAGGTTAAAGTGAGTTAAACTTAAAAGATGGACAAAATGCTATCGTGGACTTTTTATAAAACCAAAGGGAAACAATTTCAATATATAAATATTTTTTTAATTCGGACCAGTATGTCCTGAGATTAGCTCGTTCAACCAGCCAAACAAACAAATTCTTCAGCTTTATCAGCTTATAATATTACCGAGTACAGATTTGAATCTTATTTAAGATATATTAATGTTACTTTGCGCTAGACTTTATGCATTCGTAGGACCGTACAATAAGTTTTGTAAATATTCCCGTTTTAAACTTCTTATTCCTATGATCATTTATTTATTTATAAAAAAGAATGGAGTGTATAAACTGTTCGAATTACCTATAACTTGTTTAAATAAATAGATAAATATTTCCGATTTCGTGCCTTAATTGAACAAATCATTAAAGATGACATTGTCCGCTCGCTATCGCCATCAGTTATAATGAACCCTGAGCTCTTTGTCAGACCCAGTCCCCAAAAAGACTGGGCCAGAAGGCGTTTTCACTTTGTAATATACGATGTTGTTTGAATAAAGTCATACAAAAATGTGAAGATGCACCGATACAATATAAAAAAACGAGCGAGCCTTACAGTAGTCGCGTATGATGTGTAACATTTGAAACCTCACCTTATATTAGTAAAAAAAGAAATGAAACATACTACAAAAGGAATAAGCTATTTGAACATTATGTTCTAAAATCAGATCAAATAGCGCGTGCTTTCACGACTTCCTGTTACACACTTCCGTCCCATTTCACGAAATCACTCCCACAAATTGCAGGAAAGCGAGAGGAAAGATGTTACACATAAAAAAAATTAACATTATACATGACAAATATAAATCTCCTTTTCGTTTGAATTTGTTTAAAAAGGCGAGTAAAAACCTTCATTCAATCGCCAAGGCACGGTTTCAGTTGGGCAAAGGCTAAAAAAGTCATGAACGCCATTTTGAGGCAGTCTGTACTCGAAACAAGGTTAACAGATGTACCGTGAACTTCCTCGTGTCGTGTTCTACATAACGGACATTTAAAAACTATGTAAGTTAGAGAAGGATGGATGGAGGAGGACAATTACTATATCGAAAGTCATTTAAAAGTACATTTGATCCGATTGTAAAAGCGGGATTATTACTATTATCCATGAACAATGTATTAGCTTTTTTAGGGTTCCGTACATCAAAAGGAAAAAACGGAACCCTTATAGGATCACTTTGTTGTCCGTCCGTCCGTCCGTCCGTCCGTCTGTCAAGACCGTTGTTCTCAGGAACGCTTGGAGGTATAAAACAGAAATTCATATCTAATACTCATGTCTAATGTCTCTTGGAGCTGTGAAAAAATCAAACTTCTAAGCCAAAGCAATCACAAGATACAGCTGTTTATGCCGCAAATTTTCGAAACTCGCACGGGAATCACAACCTACAGGGTACTTCCCGTGAACTTAGAATCTTGTTCTAAGTTTATAGTACAGATAACGAGATTAGTTACATCATATAATAAAAAATATTTTTGAAAATTTTAAAGTTACTACCTCTTTTCCCATGAACGCGTAGAGGTATTGAGTTTGTACGGACCCCTCGGTGTGCGAGTCCGACTCGCACTTGGCCGGTTATTTTTATTCGAGGCGCAACAAATTACCATACTCCCAAAATTGTATCCTGAATCCCTACCGGAGCCCTAGCATCCTCACTCACCGCGGAGCCCTAGCATCCTCACTCACCAGCAAAAACTCATCACCACTGTGTTATTTTACTGTGGTATTCTATGAGGTTGCTTCCCTAGACGAGGACTTCAATTAGAGCGGAAATCCGCTGTGTTATACATCTCTTAAAACACTCTCTTCAAGCATTTTACTTCGACAACCGCTGATTTTAGGGCGCAGTAATCTTTCATGGGAAAATTTAATTGAAAGTCTAACAGTATCTCTTATCTATTAGACAAGTCCGTCCGTCCGTCTGTCTGTGGTGCTGTTTCAGCGGCCAAACCGTAAGAGATAGATAAAGAGAATGTTTAAGTTATAAGTTAAGAATAGTCTGATAAGACTACAAACCGGATTTGAGTAACGTAGCACTTCCGGTTTTCGAGAAATCAGGTTTTGGCGAACATTTGGTTCACTGTTTTGCTAGTCTTCTCTAATATAAAAATGAATCTCTGAATGTTTTGCTAAGCGCAAATCTCGAGAAGAGCTGAACCGATTTCGATAATTCTATTTGAAGTACGAGGATGGTTTTTACGTAGAGATAAATTAAAAAAAATGTCTGATAAAGTCCAAAAACAACTCTTTTCTATACTCCCATACAAACGATTCGTAATAATACTTAAAAGTCAATTTGAACTTTAATACCATACCATAAATTTCAAATGTTAGTGGAGAGGTTCCAACAAGGCAAAACAATTGAGTGACGTGATGTCAATAGAAGTTTGGAAAAGGCAAATACATATACCATTTTCAGTTTTTTTTTATAATTATTAAGAGTCGTTTTAGTCCACACTACAGCTCTACACCGAAGCAAAGCGAGAGCGGGCCACTAGTATTTTAATAAAAACACCCGAACTACGTCACGGTAGCGTCATATGTCGCGGGATATATGAGTAATAATTATTAAGAAACGTATATATTGACTCACTGCCTTATTCTATAATGTTGTTTGATGACAAGATTATCAATGACCGATTCTTTGACGTCATAGTCTTAATAAATATTTTTATTTTAATTAACTTAATAGATAATTTATAGCTTTCTTATCGAACTAACTTTGTTAACGTGTTTTTAATGGAAACCGATCAAAAAGAGATTACACAACCAAGACCAGGAGTAATTTTTGGTAAATTCATATTAATGGATAATTTAGATTAACTTATTGAAGTGTTAGATACGTTTTTTTTGGGTTTCTATTTTAAACCTTTTACTACAGTTAATGTATCACAACGATCGTACCATCATTATTAAAGACCAAGCAAGATATGGAAAATTCACATTAGTAATTATGATTAACTTATTTACAAGTAACATTTGTTTTTTTGTTACCAGTTTAAAGTAAATAATATCTTAGTACCTGATTGTTTTGTTAAAAATAGTTTTATTTTATAATAATGTAATCCAGTATTAATACAGTTTTTACTTCTGTACAGGGTAACCGATCTGAAGATTTCCACGTGGATCAAGAGAGGGCGAGAGAAGATGCCAGGAGCTTACTCCAAGCTGGTAATTCTCAATTAAATTTAATTTTTGTTGCTAATTATTCTGTCATTTTTACATGATATTTTATCAAACTAAGAAGGTTTATTATATTCTTGTTATTATTTATGAGCATTTAATCGCTAGATTGATAAACTTTAAGAAAATTTTACTAGAAAAACTTCTTTGCGGTCCAGGTATCAGACAGATCTGGACCACGTGGGATGTTTTTTTTTTATTTATAAACTAAGAAAGTTCAGTCTTGTGTTCTCTCGGACAACGATGTCTGTGCCTGTAATGCTACTCGATCAAAACGTCAGGAATAATAAAAAAAAGGTTACGTGACATTGGTTAAAGAAACTTACCCATTAACAAAAGGTTTTATTGAACAAAGTTTGAATTTGTGGTTAGTACCTTACTAACTTCAACGATCGTTTTATAAGTAATGTTGAACGTGTGTTTGCACAATTTACACAACTCATTCACGTCATCAGGTATATGTGAGCGAGTTTCGTAGGTTACGTCATCTTGATGTATATGTGCTGCTGTGAGTCAGTTACGAATCGTTTTTGGCTAATATAGACAATGAACGCTACCATTTATATGATTCATTTTATTTGTTTTGTACTTGCTGGTCAATTTTAAACGAGTTGATTCAATTACAAGTCACTCAAACTTTAATATGATAATGTGTCAGAAGAAAATAGTAAACAGAAATAGCTCATACTTGAGAAAATGTTCCTAGAAAAAATTCCACGTGGAACAGGCATCAGACGGGAATCGGGATCGTTAGGGCGGCGGTAGCATAATGGTCAGTGCATCCGCCCGGATAGCTGAAGGTGCGGGTTCGAGTCCCGTCTGCTGCCTGGTCTACGTAGAATTTTTTCTAGTATTTTTTTTACATTTTAACATCTAGCAGTTAAATTCTAGCTTATACTTACTTATATAATAGGTAGGTACATTATCAACTAATGGGTCTTTGCAACTTCGTCTGCGTAGAAAAATTGGTTTCCTATTCAAACTTCCACCCTACTTATCATCTCTTTAAATGATGCTTTCTGGGATAAAAACTATCCTATGTCCTTTACTGGGGCTCAAACTATCTGTACCAAATTTGATCTAAATCGGTTAAGAGGTTTAAGCGTGAAGTGGTAACGTACAGACAAACAGACATACTTTCGCTTTTGCAATATTAGTATGCGAAGCGATAGTTTGAGTTCCGGTGAAGGGAGTGAAAAAGGGGAGTGGTAGTTTGTGTGGGAAACCAATAAAACCACGCAGTCGGAGCCGGGTGCCCTGCGCTACTTTTATTTATATTTGTATTTTAAATACAATTGCTCGATGGCGCAAGTGGTGAGCGCGCTCGGCTGCGATCGTTGAAGTTAAGCAACTTTCGCAGTAGTTGGTTATTGGATTGGTGACCAAAAATTTGGTGATCAATAATTGACTATCTCAAACTCCTCCGTGCTTCGGAAGGCACGTTAAGCCGTTGGTCTCGTCTGCATCTGTAGTTGTTAGTACTCACCAGTCCGTACTAGGCCCGCGTGGTGGGTCATGGCCCAATCTCCCTATTCCATCTGTAGAGAAGGCCTGACTGCAGATTAATTTTATTGATTTCTTTATAAAAACAGGTGAGCTACGCCTCGGAACTGACGAATCAATCTTCAACGCGGTCTTGTGTTCGCGTTCATTCCAACAACTCGCGGCCGTGTTCCAGGAGTACCATTACCTAACCGGCCACGATATCGACGACGCCATCAAGTCTGAGTTCTCAGGCGATATCGAGAAGGCAATGCGAGCTATCGGTGAGTTTCAATATTCAAATTTCTGTTCATCATAGACGTATTCCAAGAGTACCATTACCCAACCTGCCACGATATCGACGACGCCATCAAGAACGAGCTGTCAGGCGATATTGAGAGGGCACTGCGAGTTACCGGTGAGTTTCAATATTCAAGTCTCTATTCATAATAAACATATTCCAGGAGAACTATTACCTAACCGTCCACGATATCAACGACGGCATCAAGAACGAGCTGTCAGGCGATATTGAGAAGGCACTGCGAGTTACCGGAGAGTTTCAATATTCAAGTCTCTGTTCATCATAAACGTAGTCCAGGAGAACTATTACTTAACCGTCCACGATATTAGCAACGTCATCAAGAACGAGCTGTCGGGCGATATTGAGAAGGCACTGCGAGGTATCGGTGACTTTTATTTATTCAAATCTCTGTTCATCATAGACGTATTTCAGGAGTACTATTACCTAACCGGCCACAATATCGACTACGCCATCAAGGCTGAGTTCTCGGCCGACATTGAGAAGGCACTGTGAACTATCGGTGAGTCTCTTATGTTCAAATCATTTCAATTCATCATTCATGTATTCCAGGAGTAGGTACCACTACTTACTAGCCATTATATCGATCACCCATCGAGGTGAAGTTGTACAAACAAGTTTTTCTTGATTTATCTGATCGATTGAGAAAATTCTTTAATTTGCTGTAACTTGATGTGTGGCTGACTGGACCCCAAATCACCATATAAGGGGGATAAAAAATACAAGAGAAAACAGATTATAACCACCTCTTATACCTTCCAAAAATCCTTACAATATCCACAACTCATTAATCTTATAATAAAATTTCAGTGAAAGTGGTTCGCAACAAGCCGCTGTTCTTTGCCGAACGCCTACACAAGTCGATGAAGGGTCTCGGCACCAATGACCGGCAGCTGATCCGCATCATGGTGACACGTTGCGAAGTAGACCTTGGAGACATCGCAGATATGTTCCAGAACAAGTACGGGGAGACGCTGCAGAGCTGGATAGAGGTAATTAGACACGGTTACTTTTCTTTAACTACTGCCTTCAAACTAGTTCGCTATATTTTTTTTTTTTTTTTTTTTACGACACACCAATTAGCCTAGCCCCAAAGTAAGCACTATAAGGCTTGTGTTATGGGATGCTAGGGTAACGGATAGAATACATATACTGTACATATATAAGTATATTTATATAAATACATATTAAACATCCATGACTGGAGTACAAATGCACGTATTCATCACACAAACATCTGCCCCCACCGGGATTCGAACCCGGGACCTCTCGAGTCGGCGACAGCCATGAAACCCGGCGTACAAACCACTCGGCCACGGAGGTCGTCAACCATGTTCCAGAACAAGTACGGGGAGACGTTGCAAAGCTGGATAGGGGTAACAATAGATACAACGATTGTGCTCTTTTATTTATTTCTAGCTCTAAAATGTTTCGCAGTTAGTCGCTAAACTTCACCGAACGCTTTAAAGATCTCGGTACTAACTACCGGCAGCGATATGACCCAAAAAAGTACGGAGACACGCTGCAGAATAACGTTGTCATAATGTTGTCTGAAACCAATACTGACTGAAGGATTACCAGTATAAAGGATTCTACCACTAAATTTTAAAAGAAGTTTATTTACGACTACCGCCACGTGTTGTCAAAATTAATTGCGGTTTGACGATGGCGAGAGAGAGCGAGAGTACGCAGAAGGAAGGCTCTAGCCATCGTCAAACCGCAATTAATTTTGACAACACGTGGCGGTAGTCGTAAAGAAACGTCTGCTTGGAATTGCGTGAGAATGCCTTTAATCATAAAGTGGACTGTACTTGACAGAAATGAACCATACATCGGTCAGGCCGCAGCGGGGCGCGAGGGTATTTGACAAGTTTTAGAAAACGATCTCACGTTATTGACTAATGTTTATGAAGTCTATAAAGAGTAGATATCCATCATTATCTTGTGTATTTTTATATTTTTTTTTGAACAAATAAAATTACGGTTGCCGCGCAAACGTTTCTTTGGAAATTATGGCGTCTCACTGGTGTGTGACGTCACAAGACTGTCATTAAAACGTCAAACGATACAAGGTAATGTCACTTTGCCCGGAAGTTGAAATGTTTGAAGTCAATTTGGTCTTCGCCAATGCCAAGCGTTTTCCGCCACGTGACATAGGGGCCGTTCAAGTATTACGTAAACAGATTTATTAAGAAAATTTACCCCGTCCTCCCCCTTGCCAGCAAAAGTAAGCAAAGCTGTTAACCCTAAGCTTTCATGAGCTTCATAAGCAGCAGTACTTAAACAGGCCTAGGATAGAGGATTTTAACGCACATAACATACATACTTAATTAAACAAACTTTATTGACACAGTATTCAACATAGAGTAAGGTACAAATATTATAATCTCATTAATTCAAATATTTTTGGTAGACATATTAATTTCAATTAACAGTCTTCACTCCATGAGACCCGAATCCATGATGGCGACGTAATCACTATATCGACCCCCCACCCCCATGTCATCAAAATTAAGAAAAGCAAAGACCCCTCTGCCCCCTATAGCGCTTACGTAATACTTGAACGGCCCCATAGAACAAAAATCATTTCTTTTTAATATTGTTTTTAGAAAAGTTATTATTTATTTTTTCTGTCAAAATAGTGAAATTGCTTCTGATATTCATTTTAAATACAGATGCCAACAATGGTACTTTAATTTTTATACTGTCTAATAGCCTATTGCTTACTTAGCACGTTAGTGACGGGCAGTGCCGTAGCGCATTGACAGATTTTTGGTACAGTGTACTGCCAGCATAGAGGTATAAGAATACAGTAGGGGAGATATAGACTGTTCCTTGTTGTGACTGTCCCTCTTATTAAAAGAGTGAGAAGATGAGAGACCGCTAGCTTTCCCTTTCCAATCGCGCATGCGCATGGGCAACCGTAAGCATCTTACTATTTCGATGTGATGCTTGGGCAACTATTGGACAGACGACTGCACATGCGTCAGAAGAGAGAGAGATAGCTAGCTGCTACATCTGCAGTTGTTAGCACCCGTCAATCCGCACTGGGCCCCCGTGGTGGATCATGGCCCAATCTCCCTATTCCATACATTGGGAAGGCCTGTGCCCTAGCAGTCCCCACATTAAAGTTGATGATGATGACATACGAGTGATTTGAGCGGATTTTTGGGATGCGAGCCTACCCGCTGTGGCCTGACATTAAGGTGCGCGAACCTTTATTCTCAGCCGTTCCTGATAGGGCGCAGCGAATACCTACTTTGTGATTTATATATATATATATATATATATATATAAATCACCCCCGTGTGCCCCGTGGTGCTACCCGCAGTTTATTAGGTATATTTTCCCGCAGTAAAATGTAGCCTATGTGCTAATCCAGGGTTTCAGCTAACTTCAGCCACATAGACTTGAAGAAGTAACAAACTCACGCCCACACAGTCACAAACTTGCGCCTTTATAATATTAGTGTGATATATAAATCGCTACTTGTACACTTATTTGTGTAATAAAGTTTAAATAAATATATATTTATATTGATGTTTACGTTTTTCTTCACAGGGTGATTGCTCCGGACACTACAAGAAATGTTTGCTGAGCCTCTTAGGCGTAGCGTATGCGTAAGGAAGCTTCTATTCGCTGATTATACACATCCATTGATTTTAATTATAAATATATTGTGGTACTTTTACGCCGCGTCATAATTATAACTCAGAAAATACCACCACACAATTATTATAAGCTATTTACTAGGTTAAGCAGTGAAATTGCTAACTTTTTTTTCACATTAACGTATAATTTATGGGAAATGCTGCGAGCTTATTGGTTATATCTGTTCTAAATTTAAATGATGTTTCTGTTTTTTTTAAATATAGTTATGAATGTAATTTCGCCTTGACGTCTTAAAATGAAAATATTATAGCAATTAAAATTAAACTTTATCGTTATACATTTAAATATGGATACGCTTCGAAAAACTGATTTTTAAGTACAGTATTTTTTCTTCTATTAATACCTAGAGTTTTATAATTATATAAATTTAATAATTTCGCAATTCGCTCGAAATATAGATAGTTAAAAGTAAGTACAAAAAATTGAGAGGAATTGATTTGGTTTGGATTTTTTTAAAAAATCTGTGCTTATGCTTTACATAAAGCCGTCCTTTTGATCTGAGGCTCGCGGGCCACTGTGTAAAGAGAAAATAAACTATTTTAAATGGTTTTTAAAATTTTTAAAGGTTCTAGAGGACGTTATAAACGGCCTTCGAAGAAGCCAAATGCGTATCACGAAACTTGCAATCTCAATAATTTAGTTAAAATTTTGTATTTCTTTCACTTTTCTCGTATGTATAGATAGGTAGGCTTGCGTTTTAAATGAAATTTAACTTTTGAATAACTTCAAATAAGTTGAATTCTGGTATTACATTATTATTTTTCATTTCAATTCTTTCCTGAATTTGGATTGCAAATAAGTGACTGACGCCAGCGCCAAAGTTTGCGGTCATTGAGTGAACTAATAATATACTTGCTCTATTTTATATTTTATTTGTGGCATTTCTATTCCATAATAATTATGAAGCTTATTTAATATTGCAATCAAGATAAAAAATATTTTGTATCATTTATTCTATTCAGTTGTGAGCCTACCAATTTGAAATTTATTGTTTGTTTAGATTTTATGATCGTTTGTCTAGTTAAAGAGACAGGTAATATTAGATTTGTTTTAATAATACTGACTGTTAGCCTCAATAAAAGTGCCTTGTATGCAAAAGAATATTACAATTTTGTCGATAATCGACAGAAATATTTCCATTAAATGTATGTATTTACGAATTTATTTATTATAATACATTATGGTTCTTTGTTATTTTAAAATCTGCATTCTATTTCATTTTGGTTGTCATTATAAAGCTACCGATAATTTTAATTATTTTTAGTCTTATTAGGTGTCGATTCTGGCATGATTCTCAAACCTCAACTTAAATTTGACAACAGTGTATCCTTAATATTCTTTATAAAATATGAAGATGAGAGACTGATGCTAAAGGCAATCATGCCAGAATCGACTTCAATGTCTTATCTACACATTTCAAGTTTGAGAGTAATCCACAACTAAGCATTTACATATAAAGACGGTTTTTTATTTTATTTAATATTATAAATTATAATATAAATATACCTACTATAGATGAAAACGAATGTGCCTAAAACAATATTTGAAAAGTTTCAATCAAATTGATTAGGCCTAAATACTTCCTTAGAATTATATAAAACATTAAATATTATTTTGCGGAAAAGTGCTTGCTTTAAAGTAAGTCACGTTTGTTGATTACTTATTATATTCTATAAACTCTGAAAATATAATATCTGTTATAAAGTACGGCCATCGTTTATCTTTGACTATCTGAAATTGAATTTATAACACTCAACTCAAAATTAACTTTATCCTTAATTTAAAAATGTCATTTTATCTTCTAACCAATAATAAAGCATAATTATTACATATTTATTGCTTAGTTTCATAGTATTTTATGATGGCTGTACTTTTTAATGATGAAAGATCTACTTATTACATGCCAAATATTACACACTAATATTGAAGTAAATGTCTACTTGTTATGCTTATTGCGGCTTTAATACAATTTGTTAAGAGCTTAAACTATTTTTATCATTGTATACAATGATTTCAACCGTTAGATACCTATGTCCACATAAAATAACATTGTTTATAACTGCTGTACCAGGTTGGAATTTACCACCACGTCACATCAGGTGGGGTAGTCATTTGCCTACCTAGCTATGAATAAAATTGGGATAGAATGAAAAGGAAATATGAATAAATATCGAATTTCAGCGCTCTGAAGCTTTGCTACCCAAAGCGATACTGGTCGAGTAACACGGCTGGCTTGTTTTAAAACAAAATTACCAATTAATGTTGTTTCAATTAGCGATATTTTTTATTTTATTGAAAGGGATGGATAGACTTCAAAATCGTTTCTCTTTTCTTTCGCTACTTTAATTTGCTAAATAAGTTAACTTTCTTGAATCATTAATATAAGAATGGTTTCGGCTATGAGAATGCGATGTTTTATCTAAGTCAAGTGCGTATCAAACAAATTAAATATCTTTGGTCTTTTAAGCTTAGTTTGGAAAGTTGTCAGTTTGTTGCCAATTCAAAAAATGTTGTATGACTGTAAAATTTTACACTTAGCGCTCATTAAATTAATGTTTCTATTGATGTTCTTACTGGGCGTAATAAATGATTTATACTAAGGAAATCTGTTTTTTTTTGTTATCTCTTAAGTATATTTTTCACAGGTGTATGGCCTGTATTAATTGATAGCTCTCAGAGTTAGAGCCCTTTCACATTTTTGCAAAAAATCGTAATTTTTGAGCGCCTCGTTTTGACTTTTTTTTTACTTTTTCCAATAGAAGTAAACAATATATTTATTCTTTCTATTGTATGTTAATGAGAATATTTGCAAATACTATTTTCCTTTTTTTGTACTGATCGTTTTACTGCAGCTAGCTTACGGAAAAACGATAATATGCACAACTTAAAACGCCTCAATCTCTCAATAATGTTCAATAAATTAGATAAAATTAATTACTACGACGTCAGAAATATGTTTTTGTTGTAACATAATGTATTAGAATTTTGATTTTCCATCTCATTAATTATCAAAAAAAAAAATATCTTACCTCCGTGAGTTTTCCCAAAAAATAATGCAGGTTTAGCTAGTATTTTAATATTGAATTAAATAGAATTACTACTTTCATAAAACTAATCTACCATCATTGAACTACTGAAATATGTATATATTTTTATAATTAGTTCATTAATTATTTTATAAGACTGGAAACGTCAACCGTAAAATGCAATATAATATACTAGTGCAAATCTACCTACGCGCTGATCAGTACGGCAGCGGTGCAATTTTGTAAAAGGGCTCTTAAGTGTTCTATTAATACGGGCTAGGAAATTTCTATACGTACTAAATTTGATGTTCAGTGTAAATGTAGGAGTTAGAGGAGTTCTAAGAGAGGAATGGTATGGAAGAAATAACTTCCTCATTACAGAATATAACACGACTTTTAGGTGGTGTCGTGTTTTTGTTGGTGAGTAAAGTTCTAGGTTTTCATGAGAAAGGGAATTGAGATCCAGTGCACAAAATCTGTCTCCAAATAAAAATTAGTCTGTCCCGCTGCAATGACAGCCAATGCCTCACGTTTCGTAGGTACACAACCACGTTACAGTGAAAAAAACATGCGCTGAAAATTAATATTTGGGTTCAACTTACGTGCCGGGCACCATACTTGTCTGCACCTTATTTCTCTCCCTATTGGCTGCCACCACCCCTCTTTCCCGCTATATCTTCCAACTCTTTCTCGCCCGCCCATCTCTTCCGCTCAGTGTTCCCAATATTTTAAAAATATTTATTCTATAATTTATTATCTATTTGCGACAACAGCCATACGAAATTAAACCCTATTCACCACACAAAAAAACACGTATCGCGTATTTTTTTGTGCAGCAGAAAGACTTTGTTTGAGTTTGTATCACTATCCAAAACAGAGCGCCGTGATGTCGACAGATAGAACATAACAGTAGTAGTCCTTATAGCCTAGTGTGATAAATTTGTATAAATACACGTCTACACGCACATTCTATGAATGAGCCCATGGAAGACTTCGAAGAGTTAGGAAAGCCTCAAGTTAGCGTAGCCCTCATAAAGTAGCCCTTGGGGATATATAATGGTAGCGCAATGTGGGTTATAGCTTATAGCCTTGCGATACAAAAAATGTTACTCGCGCCGTGGCCAACCCTGACTCAATCACCTACACCGTGAAGCCCTAGAACCTTACCATGCGCAGTTACGCACACGCCAGGACAGGCCACACACGACAGAAACACAAAACCACCAAAAGGTAGTGTTTGGCGACCGCTCTAAACAGGGCATTCCGGGCGATTCTCGGAGTAATGGGCAGAAAAATAGCAGTACGTAATAAAGAGGAATGCATCGGCAGAAAAAGTGGTGGAAGAGATCCTAACATCTGTACTACGAAGTTATCATACAACGCCCGCTAAAAACGCACTGGGGCGGATATGGTACAGGTAACTCCGCCAAAACTTAGAACAGCCCAGGGGCCACAAGACCACATGCTGAATGCATTCATCGAGTTTGTAGTAGTCACTAAAGCAACACGTAAGGTAAATAAAGATATCTGCAATACCATCATGCAAACTTATCTTGGAGGCAACATGAGACTGCTACAGATTCGACTCGAGGAGGTTGAGCCTGCAGTATTATAATAACGGAACGGCCACGGTCATACATGGATGGAACATTGGGGTCATATGTAGTAGCATATAGTAATGTGTGTGGTTTTGTAGATCTGGATGCAGAACGGTGTTAAGATTGTCTCCAAAACTCCACCGCACGATCCAATAGTGGTGCTTGAAAAATATAGTTTCGGGAGACCTGTCCGGTGACAGTAAGCTGGAATACCCGACATAGTCTATTATCTCATGGGTCAACAGAGTTCCCGGGTGTGGCAAGACAACGTGGGTTATCTCCCATATAGATACCGAAAGGGACATTATTGTAAAGACGATCACGGAAGCAGTGAAAGATCTACGACAAAAGCTCGAACCGTGAATTTGAAACAGGGCTAATAAGAGAGTAAGAACTATGGCTTACGGTGAATGGCATGGGCGAGTCAGTAAACGTCTTAGGGTGGATGAAACCCTCATGAAGCACTTTGGTTAGCCATTCAAATTGCGAAAGCTAGAGAGGCAACGCTACTTGGAGATGTAAAC